ATGGGTAACGAAGCTTGTAGAAGACATAATCATGGAGTTATGTGGGAGTTTGGTACGAGAGACGTCCCCAGCGTCACTCGGCCTTTTCTATTTTGGGGGCGTACCTCCAGCCTTTGCACAACCAAGTGCGAACTGCAAGGCAGCAGGAAGTAATCCCTCGCCTCGGAAGTGAGGGGTCAATGACTTTAGTTTTAAAAGGCCAGTCACATCGACCTTTGTCACGACACCGCCATTGGGTTTATGCGGCTTTTAAACAGGAGCCAGGTGACCAACGTGGAACCCACCACACCCTGATAGTGCCGTTGCTGTTTGTTCGCGACTGCTTATTTGTTCACAGTTAACCTTCTTCGGCGAAGGTATCTTCTTATCCACAACCAATAGACGCGCCTGGTAGCATTCAGCTCTGCATAACCCGAGGGTATCCACATACACCTTCCCGGTTGTGGCAGTTGTCACCGGCTCGATTAGTCATCAAGGTGTATTGAGCACTTTGGACATTAGACCCCGTTCAAAGGGTGTATGATCTGATGAACTGGGAACCGGCCTCCAATGGATTACGGTTCTCACACATCACCCCGCTGCCTTGCGGGTGAGGCTTTGGCTAGCCATAGCCGTCGGTTGTAGATTCCTCAAGAAAATTCACCTGCCTTGGTCTGGGCAACATAGCAGTGTTCAGCCCACATACAAATCTTGGAATATATTTCTTGTTTCATAAAGATTATTGTACTGTGTTTTGTTTAGCACAGTTTGGATTTAGACATGTGGGAAAATAGATAAATACTGAACACTTGACATACGTAATCCTATCTATAAGGATGAGACTATAAACTGGAGAACGCAGTGCTAGTTGCATTTGGGTATGAGTACCTCGGAGACGCAGCGTACGTCTACCGTCGGTCTCCAAAAACCTCAGTATGGTATGCTTATATCTTTGGCTCAAAAGAAGCCATCCTGTGTAGCTCGTTGGGTCAAAGAGGTGCGCAAGCCACCTTGGAATTGAAAAGAAACCGTGATTTGATATAGGAAAGAGGAACATGTTCGAGGATGATTTGTCGGTTATCTAGCGAATTTCAAGAAAGCGGGTACATTATACCGTTTGAAACCTTCAAAAGCCTCAGTATGGTCGGAGGTGGATGTCTAGGGTTGCGGCTGGTCACCCTTCCCTTGCACCTCACGAAATGCTCTCATACGACCAAGCCTCTCGAGTAACCTCTGCTGAAGAAGCCTTACTCACCGCCTTCCCGTGGAGAAGGTTTATCTCACCAAAGTAAGAGGAAATATAACCGTATCCGGGGCTATAACAGGGTTGATGGACCACTCTCAGTTTCCCTAGGGGATTTGGTCAAAACCCTGATTAAAAACCAACCAAGAGGTGTGCGAGCCACACACACCATCCTGGTTGTGGTAATGGGTCACCGGCTCGAGTGGGCATCGAGATGTATTGGACACCTCGGAAGTTTGGCCCAGTTCAAAGGGCGCATGATTTGATGAACTAGACACCGGCTCCCAAAGGATTGCCGTTCTTCCACACACCACCCCACTGCCTTGCGAGTCAGGCTTTGGCTAGCCGAAAGGCTCCTGTTGTGGATTCCTCAAGAAAATCGACCGGCCTTGGCCTGGGCAATCTGGCAGTATTCGGCCCACCTGCAAATCGTGAAAAATTTCTCTTTTTTATAAAGATTCTTGTACCATGATTTGCTTGGCACACAGTCTGTCCTGAGACAAGTGTGAAAATATATATATATGTATATGTATATACATATGTATATATATATATATATGTATATATATATATGCCAAGTCAACCACATGTGAATTAATTTGAGTAACAATGCTTCAAAGCTACTTGCTGGTATCATACCATGTCGGTTGTCAGCTGCACGAGAATCGAGGTCGTTTTAGACCGATTCGAAGTTGCATGGACCATATTTCACTCCACAAAATTCTTGATCACAGAGAGCCTTTGCATAAACCCAACGTTTCTTCCCAGAAGTAAAGCGACCTTGGACTCAGTTGAACGCACCGAACCCCGGTGCTGCATTGGCCTGTAGGGTGTGTCCGGGAAGTTTATTGCATTACCACGATTCCATAATACAAATAGCTGAGGCCCCGAACTGGGCCTCGACCTTATGGCTCATTTTGACCCGAGTTCACCAGGGAAAACAGTGCTTTCCAAGGGTGCCCTATTCTCCTTTTCTGTTCTCAATTTTGTTATGGATTTGATTCTGGAAGCAGTCCTGTCTTCGTGTGAAGACAGCAGCCTCGATGTACTCCCAGGTGAAGGCTGTCCGATCTGTTGTGCACAGGTAACACTGTACTGGCGAGTGAAGATTCAGGTAAGTTGCAAACCTTTCTGAATGGTTTGGGTGTTTAAGTGGTCATACTGCGCAAAGGTTTGATCAATTTTTAAGTGTAAAATGCGTTTACAGGATTGGCAAGCTCCATATTTCTACCTCACCCTAATCGGGGCTGTGACAAAAGAGGCCGACAAATTTGGTCATCAAGGGAGCTACATCTCACTTGATGGACGCATTACGGATGAATTTTCAGGACACAGAGAGCTCAATTGACGACTTTTCTAAAGTGAGACGTACGTAATATCTCCGCGACGTTCTGCTGTCTGTGAGGGGTCGGATGTACACTGAAGGTGTTATGTAGGTTTATTTATGCCGCGCAGAGACACGGCTCTCGAGGGAACATGAAGAAGAGAGGCTATCGGTATTTGGAGATCGCTGGTTACACCACAATGCTAGTCTAGTGAGGTAACGAGACGAAGAGAAGCGCTACCGTGATCGAACACTGACGCGAGTTCTTCATTCCTATTGACTTCAGCGGTTGGAATATGTATTATGCACGCTACCATGCAGTGTAATGATGTGCGTTGTTTGCCTAAACAAAAAAACAAAACAACAAACAAAGAAAGAAGTATTGGATGCTGTTTCAGCGAACAGATGAGCACCAATCGACATAACAAGAAAAGGCAGGGCTGGTAATCATGCTTCTCGTGAAACAATACATAATCACAAGAGGAAAAACAAACATAACTCACCGATATTCTCTTGTTCTTTACATGAAATGCTATAGCAGCAAATTTCACGGTCGNATCAACTCATGCTCAGCCAGGGCGTTGGGTAAATCTTTTTTATTTCCTAGCACAAGTACGGGTATTCCCAACAACTGAGGCTTATCCAAAAGACTGTGCAGTTCGTTCCTTGCTGCCTCCAACTTGTCATGATCTGCCGAGTCTACCATGTAGCTAAAAGAGGACATTTTAATTGAATTTGGAAAAACAAAACAAATCTACATGATCGCATTCACTCCTCGACAATATCGTTCCCACATACTCCGGAATCTTGGCTGGCCACCTATATCCCAAAGCTATCAAGGATCAAGAATAGAAACTGCATTTACTTTAATGGTGACATTGCCCTTTGTCACCTTTCGCAAATTGAAGCCAACTGTCGGTATCATATCCTCGACAAACTGGCCAGACTGGATTCCTTATGAAGCGCAACGAGTGATTAGAACTTACCGCAATAACATTCACGAATGTGGTTTTTCCTGAATACTGTAGTCCGACGAGAGTTAATTCCATTTCTTCCTTCCAGAACAGACTGCGAATCCAGTCGAGAATACGTTGAAAAAAAGCCAGCATTTTGGCATCGACAGGAAACGAATTATATGACTGAATCGAACCGGTTACCGACTAGAGGCTACAACTGGAAATAATGAAGATAGTTTAGGGTAAATGGCCACCAAATAAATCTAGGGTTGAAATGTGTTGTTTTCCGTTTTGAAGTTTCAAGCACAGCTACGCTTTGAGGAAACATAACAAACGGTAAAGACAGACAGCATATGCCTAAACCGATAAATTACAGCAGGCGACGGTATTTTGTCTGTACCATAAAAGGGAAAAACTTTGAGGGGGACCATGAGAAAAATAGTACCATCGATCGAAACGAACAACATCGATTTGTTGAACTTGTTGACAATGTTGCTTGTCACACAGGCTTTTAAACGCTAATGGTGGCATCCGAAATGAAGTACACTGCCAACCGAAATGTTGGAACTTCTGCCTAGGACTTTGTTGATACACAAAAATTGCGTGCAAGCAACTAGGACCCTCCAGTGAGTGTCTGTGAAGGGTCGAGTATATGCTGCAACAGTTCGGCCAGTCCTGCTCTACGGTGCAGAGACTTGGCCACTACGGGCACAGGATAAAAATAGACTGTCGGTGTTCGAACACCGCTGTCTAAGTCGTATTGCACGAGTCTGGTGGGGAAACCGGACGAGCAATGCTGAGCTTAGGCGTAGAGTTCCAGGCAGTCGCGGTCGCCCACTGGAGCGAGTGATCGACCTCCATAGATTATGCTGGTTGGGGCATGTTTTACGCATATCACCAGATAGGTTGCTACGACCAGCGATGTTTGATGAAACCGGTAGCGGTTGAAAAAGGGTCAAAGGTGGTCAAGCTAAGGCACGAGGGTATAAAAACACCAACCAGGAGACTAGGTCACATAGGTCCCGTTAGGCTTCCTAGCTGGGGACCTCGGGATGATGGTCACCAATGGTTAGATACATTGAGTGATATGGCTGGATGTTGCAAACAGTGGCGCTCGTGCATTCATTCATTGTTCCCCTAATACCATTCTACATGAATTCTCCATTTTCCGCTTGAATTTTCTTTCAACATTCCAATCTTTTTCCTGCTCTTTTATCCAAATGGGACATCAAAAGACAACAACCAAAACCGGCGCAGGAAGGTGCATGGTTAATGGTTGTAACAACTGAACTGAACTATTGAATATACAAAGATACAATTTTCAGGAAGGGGGAAGTGGCCAATCAAAGGGCTGTCATTCAACACAACGGGGAAAGTCAGGCGGTGGTGGTGGGGTTAGAACACATCCCCGGGGTGATAATTTGGTGACGTTACCACCGGGCCACCAGCGACCAAAATGTTCCAAAAAAGAATAGTTGTCGAACATTTGTTCCTAGCCTGCACGAAGCCTTGTTGGGAGTCGGAAGTGGGTGAGCGGCGCCAGCGGCGGAAAGTTGAGTGTTTCAGGCGTACAGCCCGGTCAAATACATGGTTAAACCATTCGGGGGATTAGGACTTACCGGGTTTGGAAAAGCGAAGAATAAAAAGATGCATACCTTGACGAACCATATAGGTGAATTTGGAAGCAGATTTGGAAATGTCCAAAGAGAAGCAACAATCGTTCCAGGGATAAGGAGCTAGGGCATTACGGAAACCGTTCCAGTTGGTTGAGTTGTAGCACCAGAATGTGTGTTTCGAGGTGTGTGGCTTATCGGGGCTGGTAAACTTCATAGAGCAAGAAACAATGTAGTGGTCTGATGAACCAAGAAGAAGGAGGGTACAAATATCTGAGTCAAAGAGAGAACTAGATCAAGGGCGTGGGTATGGTAGCCAGCTCGATCAGGGACACGTGTGGGGAGGCCGACTAGTTGATCCAGATTGTTGACCAAAACGAAATGTTCGGCTTCGCACTCCAAAGAAGTAGCAGATGAATGTGTCAACCAATCCTGATTATGAATGTTACAACCTCCCAACATGGCAACATGGCAGCAGGGTCGGTTGCAAACAGATGTTGAATGTTTAAAGATAAAAATAAAAGATGGAAGAGTAGACACAATTGCAGAACGATATAGATTACAAACCTAATGATTAGAAGTAAATCGGAGCTTCAGTCACATCAGCTGTAATTCACGATTGGAAAATTCCAGATTTGGGATTATGCGGGCGGCGACTGATTGATGAATAAAGGCGCAAACACCGTCTTTGTGTAGAAAGGAGGAGTGAAAAGTGTAGTTTGGTGGTGTCTGACGAAGGGGAGAGTAGTGTCTCGGTCAAAAAATGGTGTTGCAAGATTGGGTGTTGTCTACTACTGCTCTGAGGCTTGACGATCAAGAATTAGTCACAGCAGATCGCTTCTATTTAGGTGGTTGCGTGACAAATGACGGTAACGTCGTCAATACAGTAATCACCTGCCTTTCCAAGGCACAAATAGCAGATTCAGGACTGAAACACCTTTGGTGTAGACCTGATGTTTCCTTGAAAACTGAAAGGTTGCGTACATTGCTCCACTGTGATCAGTTTAGCCTTAGGGTTTCGACATCTTTAATTTGCAAGTGAGACATTTACCTTGAAGTCTTCGATTGTCGATGGTTAAAGGGTGGAGCGCGGGTTAGATGGTGCGAGCGTGCAAGCAACACTGAAGCCGTCCAGCATCTGTTCATGATTAAGTGGAGAATTCGTTGCCACATCGAATTCAGAGTAGTAGGCTTTGCGGACTAGGAGACGTATTGCTTGTGTCCAGCTTTCGTTTACCGCACAGGTCCTTATTAACAGTTGTGGCTCCAGATTGAAGAATACAACGGAGGTCAAAGAATAATGTGGAAACGAGGTACGAAGAAATGAACAGAACAATTAGGTAGTGTATCCCGTTGTCCCGATTTTACAACTAGCTCCTTCGAGACACTGAAGGATATGGGAGAAAACCGACTGCAGTGGCATACTTGTCATATTTCATCAGGTTAAAATGCTTGAAAAGGCATGTATGCACAGTTAGGTTGCGCACTCTATGTATAGATGATAGAAAATCATTTTCTTTGGCTTCCCCCAGCTAGGCCTAAGCCCCATCTCACACTTTCTCAATTACGTTGTGCACACTGAGACATTGGCATCGATCGGCGAAGTCTGCTTCTCTGTATCTCGCTGTACGATAATAATGATGACGACTGGTCAATGGCGCGGAACCTCCCTCTTAATGTTGCAAAACGCCAGCATCTTATTGAAGAGAGGGAACCCAGACGCATTCTTCATACAGGCCTGTCGGAGGACCGAGGGGAATTGTTAAAGATCTGGAAAAGTGGGGTCAAACTTCATATCAATACAGTGGTAGCATCACGCTGCGCAGAAGACCATGCAAACGACATGCTAACTGAAAAGAGCAATATGTTCAAGAATGCCAAGCATCCGCTTACTATTAGGCCCTACCTGGAATATTGCGTATAAGCGTGGAGACCCAAGAAGGTGAGTAACAGTAGTCTTCTCAAATAGGTACAGCGTCATATGACAGTGACAGAGGATTCGATTCAATTATATAGCAAATTTTGTTGTGAAA